TTTGGAATACACAGCTGTCTCCCATATGTATTAAACAGTATGTTAGATGAGAAGCCGACCTTTACACATCAATAAAATATCACACCCATGATAATTATTAACAACAGTTAACGATTATAAACACCAAAATCACAAAAGAATTATAGCGATACTGATCATATAGACGAGATATTTTTTATGTTATTTATTGAAATTGTTTACAGTGAATATGTCTGACTTGGTTCTGAGTACTTTTTAAGTATAGTACAGTCACCATCACTCACCCTTGTTGTCAGTATAAAGATAGGGTCTTGACAGTTAGCTCAACGGGATCGGGTTGTCAGGCTCGCTGACTTGGTTTGATGCATGTCATTGTATCCCAGTTAGTAGTTAGATCGTGGAGTTAATTTTTCAACACACTGTTTCCTACTCATAAACATGATAAAGACTCATGAAGATCCGGGGTAGAACAGGTCTTCAGCAACCCATGCTTACTGTAAATAGTGACTATGCTTGTCATAAGACACAGACCCGTGATGATCCAGGGAAGAATAGGTCTTCAGCAACCCATGTTTGCTGTAAAAGGCTACTAACGAGATTGGGTGGTCAGGCTCGCTGACTTGGTTGAAGCATGTCATCACTCCCAATTGCGTGAATCGTTGCTTATGATATCAAGCACTGGATTTTCTGGTCCAGACTCAATTATTGACAGACCGCCGTCATATAGCTGGAATATTGCTGAGTGCAACGTTAAACACACAAACAAATCATAGTCAAGAATCATCAACATGGTCTGGTGAATAAAGGATCTGACCAGCCATGCACGTTACCCTACATGTACAATAAACTTGAACGCAAGATTAAACCCCATTTCACCTCACCTCTCAAGCAAGAGTACTGTAATTGGCTTGTGGCCTGTTAAAATTACAAAGGGCTTGCTGAAAAGTAAAGTAGATCGCTTGTCTGGCTAGTCAAAATTTACACCTCTTCTCAGTGCTTTAAATTGCTCGTGAGAATGTAATTCTGATGAGAAAATATTTTGGGGTGGTGAGGTCTTGTGAATGGTTCACTCAAAGAAAGATATATGTCGACCATCTTGGTAAAATGACAACAGGACACTATTTTTTAATGTTTGTACAACATCTTTTCCAGGTGATAGGTGTTCACTTAAACTTTAACTTCTAAGCTTTTGAGCTAACTAGCATTCACCTGTCAGGAACAGATTACATGTATAATCCCTCAGCCCTAATCCCCTTAATCCTCCTGTATTTCAGTTTTGAGGGGGGGGGGGGGGGGGGGGGGGGGGGTGTTATTGGAAACAACAAAAGGTACCCAAAATTATTATGAATATTAAAATTACTTTGCTTCAGACTGTTAAAAAAAGAAATTGCCTGTCCTAAAATTTACTTTGTTGCAAGGTGTTTTTCTTGAAAAACATATTCATGCTCATAGTTTAAAAGATATATCCGGATTTGTAGTTGCAGCTGAACAAAATCCCCCCCCACTGTTCCCCCCCTCTCCCCCCTCTTTCTGCCCCCCTTCCCCTTCTTTCTTCCCCCCCCGCCCCCCCTCCCCTGAAAATATCAAATGGTTGGTCCCAAACCGTAGATCTTTTACATTGGTTGAGCATGTTGAATACCAGCATTTTTTATTCTATGCCACCATTGATTACAGATGCCCTCTCATCCAGTCCACCGTGCCTGAATGTCAATCAGTACCTTATTTCCATTACCATGTTGAAGCAAAACCTCACTGTGAATAAAATTGTTAATAATTTATTGGTGTTCTTAATTGGAAACACAGCTATGACAACAAGGAGATGTCACATCGACCTGCCAGTATTGTCTTGACATTGGTTTCTAGCCAGCAATTCCCCTATTTGAACCAGTCTTAACTTGTAAAATCTCTAATCTCTGATTAATGTGTCTCGATTTACAGATTGTAGGGGAACATGTGCATATACGGTATTCAACGTAATAAGTGCCCAGGGTGCTCTGAAAATTATAAATAGGGGGCTCTTATTAGAATATAATTTTGGTGAGAAAAAAAAACAGAGTTGAAAGATTGTAAATTTTGTGGTTTATGCTGACAGCCTGATATGATACAAAAGATATATTTTCCAGAATTTATTTGTCCATTATTAAGGATGCATATAGCACACGAGTGCGTATTATACACCAATAAATAAGTCTTGTGTACATTGATCAATTGGAAGGGATGCTAACTGGGATTGTTCACTAGTCAACATATTAGCAAATATCGCTGTATCGCTTATTAACACGGGGCGCTTATTACGTTGAATCCAGTAATCTTTAAGTACCCACAGTTTGAGGACGTCAGGCCCAAGAAAGCATGACAAGTTATACATAACAGGGATTAGTGATGTAGTATATAAAGCCTGGAGGTATTGAGTTTGTTCAAAGATTAATGTTGTGTGGTCAAGCAAGGGTTAGTCAGACACAAAATTTGAATTTTTTTTATGTGTATTTGGTGCATGTAGACATTAATTTTAGGTTGCATTTTTCAATAATAGGTTGCATGTTTTATATAGCTAAATAGAGCCCTGACAATTGAGTTGGGTTAATTTCTTAAATTTTTCTCTAGGGTCTAGGAGACAGATGGGTATGAGTACTGATGTGGCTTTTATGTCAAATATGGTATTCTCTACTTTGTGGTGTGTGTGTTTGCTCGATGTGGTTTTATTGTGAATTCTACCATGAATTTGGAATTTACTCGATTCTGATTGGTCAATCAGAGGCTATTAAATCACAATAAACCCCCTCTAATTGAAACAGCTGATTTGACGGCCGCATCACCGCGGAAGCTAATATTCACAGAATAGTACTATTTTCAGTCTTTGTCGGTAGGCATATTTAAATAAATATATCTACAATTAAAGTTTACAAAATGCACAGATGCGGTTGCTACAATATTCAAAGGATGTGTGGCAATACATTTCGTGCAGAAAAACACGACAGAAATCAACAAAGGGAATGTATTTACGTTTTGGAGACAATAGAGAGCTTGGACTTTTGGTGCTTTTCTATATACGACTTTGACGTCATATCTTTTGCGTCACAATGAGCGATATGACGTCATAATGGTGACGTGCGATGTAGAGCGAAAGCTTTGCAACCCTTGCTTTGTTTTCTTTAGGGATGCCCACCTCATGTTAGCTAACCAAGTTGCCGTGCTTATATGCTTTCAATGCCTGTCATATGTTCGAGTGAAGTATTACGGTGTAAACAAAATGCTTGAGTATATACAGCACCATATTTAGTTCGGTGATTCCATAATTAAGATCGATAACCCACTCAAAACACTGAACTCAACCCATGCCGCTTCACTCAGTATATTTGCTAACACCAAAGAGTTCGCATTTTATTTAGTCATGGTAGAATGGAGATAAACATACTGTGTTTTCAATGTTGAGCTAGGTTACCTGTAGATTTAACCCTGCTAAATTGAATTTGGAACCGAACGCGCAGCTCTACATTGAAAACACAGTATGTTTATCTCCTAAATCTGCATGTCTGAACTGTGATGTAAATGTTGTCATTACAGAGGTCATACTATAGGAAAATATGTAACTTCCATCACCCCATCACAATCAGACACATAAATAGACTGATAAATAATCAGTCTATTTTTGCAGGGATTTATCTAGAATTCAAAACTAAGTGCCCCTGGCAAGCAAATTCAGAAAAAAACCTTCATTTTGTTTAAAATTGGGATTTTTTAAAGGTCTTATTTTCCCAAATTCTGAGGTATTTCAACATTGCATTCCATACAATATTGTATTATGAAGTATTAAACTGCTTCCTCAATATTGGTCCTGTTATCTGTAAAATACAAGTCACCGAAAAAATCCTTAACATTAATTATAACTATATCAACAGGAATTGGGAATTTTTAGATTCCAATATGGGAATTTTTACTGACATTTGCTGCAGGCCTAGGTAAATCTGTGTCTGATTGAAACAAGCCTGATTCAAGGTCATTGGCTTAATGGTGTAGGGCCTATTGAATGACCAACATAATTATGTCCATGGGTGCTGTTGTACAAAACAATCTTAGCGCTAAGGTTACCTTATATATAAGTTTTAACCTCAAAACCTTTAACTAAGGACGACTCCCTGTTGCATGAAACAACTTTACGCTAAGGTAGCTTTAGTTAAGCTGAAAATTAAAGGTTGGTCCGACCCAACCTTTGTGTGGCTGAGGTTGATACTTCATTAAATTTCAACATGGCTACTTTCTTGTTGATGTGTGAGGAAATTGAGAGAAGTTTGAGGAAACCACTTGTTTTCTGAGATCGCACCATGCAGCTTGAGACACGGACAGACTGGGAACTAATATCGCGTTATCGACACAAACACGAAGCTATTTTTGTCTGGTAGACAAAGTTCGTCCTATGGTCGAAAGACCAACATAGCATTCGTATGCTATGACAGTAGTAAAGGTCGTTTTGCACAAAGGCACCCTGGAGATTCTGGTGAAATGAAGTCCCTATCAACCTATGCTGGCCATAATGGATCGGGGGGAGGGAAGGTGTGTGTGGGATGATGATAATGAAAATATTTAGGAGCTGTGTTTAGTTTTACATTAGCATATTGATCCTGGCAATGGTTGCGTGAAAAGTTATCGAGTTGTAATGAATGCTAGCAGGCTTACTGTGTCAAGACAAACATGGTTGGGTTTGTTGAACAACTGACCTCAATCGCCATAATTTGATCGGCAGAGGCTTACCAGAAACCGTGGATCATGGGCTCAAATTCCAGTTGGCCCTGATTATGTTTCCAGGTGTGTCACCACCCTACATCTTCTTGTGGTTATCAACAAAAAGGTTAACGGCTAGGAGCTGCTTTGGGCTTTCCGTGCACATCAAGCCAACACTCACTCACTCACTCACTCACTCACTCACTCACTCACTCACTCACTCACTCACTCACTCACTCACTCACTCACTCACTCACTCACTCACTCACTCACTCACTATAATTTGTCTTTCTTCCTCTCAGCTGAGTCTTTGGAACTGGAAACAATGACAGTCAACATCAGAAGACTATGGCCCAAAGGTGAGACGATCGTTACCTACCCGTCTTCATATGTATGTAGGTCAGTGGGTTTGTGAACCTGTGGAGATCCAGGTTAGAATTGGTCTTCAGCAACCCATGCTTGTCGAAAGAGGCGGCTCACTCACTTGTTATCCCCCGGGCATATAATGCGGGGGGATATAGCGATCTGTCTGTCCGTCTGTCCGTCCGTCCGTCTGTCCATCTGTATTCATTTCCTTTTCCGGGGCAGAACTCGAAAACCATTCAGTGTATTTGATCGAAACTTGGCAAATCTATCAGTCACATACTGAAGTGGTGCCTTTTGCTATTTAGGAATTTTAGAATTTTTTATTTTTTATGTTTCCATGGCAACAAGTTGGACTTTGGTTCTATAAGGGTGGTGTTCATTTCCGGAACATAACTCAAAACCCATTCAATACTTTCTAACAAAACTTTGCATGTCTATCAGACTCATGCTGAACTGGTGACTTTTGCTATTTAGGAATTTTATAAATTTTTATTTTTTACGTTTCCATGGCAACAAGTTGGACCTAGGTTCTATAAGGGTGGTGTTCGTTTCCGGAGTGTAACTCAAAAAACATTAAATACTTTCTTATAAAGCTTTGCATGTCTACCAGGCACATACTGAACTGGTGCCATTTACTATTTAGGAATTTTATAAATTTTTATTTTTTACGTTTCCATGGCAACAAGTTGGATTTAAGTTTAAATATAGGGTGGGTTCACTTATGGAGTATAACAAATAAACTGTTAAATAATTCCTTGCCAAACATTGCATGTCTATATATAAAGCACATACTGAACTGGTGCCATTTGATATTAAGGAGTTTTAGAAATGTTTATTTTAGAATTTCCATGCAGCTTTTTTGACATGGGCTAAGAGAAATGTTGGGACAGTTACCTGGTTTGGGACCATAACATGTTAAAATGGGCGGAGGATATAGATGACTTCATTGACTATACGCTTGTTTAGTTATTGTTTCTTGTAATTTTTCATTTGTTTGCATAAAAGACCCACAGAAACACACATGTTTTACTTTCCATTTCATATGGATGCGACCATGGTGGATCTTTTATTGGTAAACAATGTATGTTTCTTCAAGAACATTCAACTCTTGACTCATTACATACAGAATTGCACATTTACTTGTGGTTACTTTGCAGACAGCTACAGGGGGGATATGTCATCTTTCTGATGCCTCTTGTTTGTTGCATGTCATCGTATCCAAATTGTGTAGATTGATGCTCACGATGTCACTGGATTTTTTAGCCCAGACCCGATCAGACCTCCGTCATGTAGCTTGAATATTGCTGAGTGCAGTGTGCAATAAACAGCAAACAAATAGTGAGTCAGTTCCCTGGCATTCCCTGCATGGTTTATAGGATATATACATCGTGTAAGAAATGAGGAAGCCCTTTAAATCCTAGTGGAAAATATCTGACGTCTTCACATGAATGAAAAATAAAACTTTGTGCCTTTCAACACTTACATGTTTGGGTTTCGTAACAATTCTAAATGTAAAGGCAGAAATATGTCATAAAGTCTTATTTTGGAGGACTCTGTCAAACTTTGATACTTGATTGTGCCAGAAGTCCAAACCTTGCGAGAGAAAAGACAAAAGGCTACTTGTAAGTGAGTGAGTTGGGTTTAATGCCGCTTTTAACAGTATTCCAGTTATATTACGGCGTGTCAGCTTAATGTGGGAGGAAAGCCCGAAGGGATGCAGGTCTCAGATGTTTACCACTTAGATGAAACCCACGAGCACGGGTATGGTGCATGCTGACAAAGCTAGAAACATAATCGGGGCGAACGGGATTCGAACCCACAATCATAGGTTTCTGGTGTGCACAAGGGACACAACTCTGCACAGCTAATCGCGGCGCCTTAGACAACTCAGCCATTTCAACATAGTATAATTTTTATTCCAGGATTTCAGTTTTTTTATGCAGATTTAAAATTTGAAATTTAGCCCTAAATTGTCCTTTTGCCCCGAAATTAAGTGATATGTTCATTTTCAAAAGAAAGCACAATTCACAACGTTAATTGTTGCTTTCTTTTGAAAATGAAAATATCACTTAATTTCATTCGTACCATTGTTTCTGAATGATACTGAAAAATGTATTGAGATATGGCATTTTACCGAATAATCGATCCTCCATTGCTATGATGATAATAGATTTGATGATTGCTATATAGTTGATGTTTGTTCTACTTGCAGTGTATAAGATTGGATGGGTGAAATGCTTGTTTGTGGTGGGAGTCGTCTTAATAGTATTCTTCTTGTTGCAAAAGAAAGGTATGTAATATTCAGATAATTCGCTACATTTGTTGTATGGCTTTGTATTGGCAAATATATTGTATTGCAATATATTAAGGTGCTGGTATCTGTATTGCGATACGTATTGCAATATATTGCGAGCTAAAGTGTTTGACAGTGATTGACACTGATTGCACATACAGATCTTATGATGTCATGTCAGCATCGCTGCATGGTTAGTCGCCGCCAGTTTGTAGTCATGGATACAGGGGAGATAACAACATGAGATGAAAATCACTTCTGCATTTCCACGTTTTGGAAATCAATTTTGAAGGGAAACGTCATTTGTGAATGAATATATAGATATAGGTTCAACAATGCAAATAATAATTACCACAGAAAAAATATTGAACTATGTTCGTTTGAAAAGCATAATACTTTTGCAATAGTGAAAATAGACCGAATAACCCCTGATGCCAAGGATTAGAAGAAGGTCATAGTTTTTAGGCAACACATAATATGTAGGGATAGAAATGTTTTTGTTTTCAAGTGTGCCATGGGGCACACATTGAGACGTTCAGATGTGCCTCATGAATGGGTCTTAAGTGCAGATATTGAGCTGTTCTTCTTATTGATTTGCTAATTTTGTTTTACACCACTTTAAGCACACAGACCCGTGATGATCCAGGATAGAATAGGTCTTCAGCAACCTATGCTTGCCGTAAAAGGCGACTATGCTTGTCGTAAGAGGCGACTAACGGGATCGGGTGGTCAGGCTCACCGTCTTGGTTGATGCATGTCATCGTATCCCAATTGCGTGGATCGATGCTCATGATGTCAGTCACTGGAATGTCTGGTCCAGACTCGATTATTTACAGACTGCCGTCATATAGCTGGAGTATTGCTGAGTGCGGCGTTAAACAACAAACAAATAAACAAAATTCAGCACTTGTTCAGCCATACAATGATGGCTACAAAGAAAGGAATTCACACACTATACTCATGTGACCAGTAAAGTGGAAGTACTTTTAACAAAGTGATTATGTCAATAATTATACAAAACTATAACTATTTCTTTGACCTTTGCAGAAGAAGGCCACTCGAACCAAGGGCATGCCCGTTATTCCTGGGGCTCTGTGCACAAAGTTAAAGGTAATTTTCGTGTGTGTTTTTTCACCAAGTATGACACCAGTCTAAAGAGGAAAAAGAAAAACGGTGCCCAGTGTGTTCCCCTTACTGTCCGGAAGGTGTCCATCCTCTCTTGCATCACTTGGGCACACCAGAAACCTGTGAATGGGTTCCGATCTTAGTGAGTGAGTGAGTGAGGGAGTTGGGTTTTACGCCGCTTTTAACAGTATTCCAGTTATATCGCGGCGTGTCAGCTTAATGTGGGAGGAAAGCCCGGAGTGATGCAGGTCTCAGACGTTTACCACTTCGGTGAAACCCACGAGCACGGGTATGGTGCTGACAAACCTAGAAACATAATCGGAGCGAACAGGGATTCGAACCCACAATCATAGGTTTCTGGCGTGCCCAAGGGACGCAACTCTGCACAGCGAATCGCGGCGCCTTAGACGACTGGGCCAATCTTAGTGTGCCTTGATTATGTTTCTAGGTTTGTCAGCATCATACCTCGGCTTGTGGGTTTCACCAAAGTGGTAAACGTCTGAGACCTGCATCACTTCGGGCTTTCCTCCCACATCAAGCTGCCGTGATATAACTGTAATACTGTTCAAAGCGGCATTCAGCCCAACTCAATCACTCACACTCTCATTATCAATTTAGATTGCATCAGTTTCCAGAATTTGCTAATTTTTATTTAACGCTTCTCAAAGCTTTGCATTGGGCTATTAGGATTCTTCACCTCAAACTGGCTCATGTTGTAGCGGTCTCCTCATCTCCTCCAGGCCACGCCCGTTTTTCCTGGGGTTCTGCGGACAAAGTTAAAGGTATATTCTGTGTGAAACTGTAACCCTGGTAACCACACTGCACAGTAGCGAGTAGAAGTTATCATGAAAAAAATGTTTTTTGTTTTTTTTTACTTCTTAATACCTGTATTACATCCATTATAACAAATTAAGAATTATATTAAATAACATTTTTTATGGAATTGTTAATTTATTTTTTTAGCTACAAATACATTAGATTAATTTATTTATTATTTTTTTATTATATATTTTTTTCACATGATAATGAGCGATAGAAACAATTTTAGCCTACTAGTCCTTATAATGATAACATATAGCAAAACCCTTAAAAAGGGCCAGTCTCTACCAGTCCTTAGGATACCTCAACTATTGGGGCAGTTTGGCAAGGACTATAGGACTAGTGCCAATTTCTAACACTGGGTAATGGCTGTTTAGATAATTTGATATTTTAACCCATCTGTAACCATGGTAATAGATCATTTCCCATTGCACGCCACACTTTGATTTTCTGAGCATTTCCCACTTCACTACTGCTGCCACCACAGTGCAATAACTGAACTACCGTATTCAACATAATAAGCGCCCAGGCTCTCTCAAAATTAGAAATTGGGGGCTGTTATTAGAATATTATTTTGGTTGAAAGTTGAAAGATCATAAATTTTGTGGTTTATGCTGACAGCCTGAAATGCTTATATACGACAGATATATTTTTCCAGAATTTATTTTCCCATAATTAAGGATGCATATAACACACATATTATACATGAATGAATATGTGTACATTGATCAATTGGAAGGGGTGCTAATTGGGATTGTTCAAAGCCAATATATAAGCAAATATCACCGTGGGCGCTTATTGGAGCGGGGCGCTTATTACGTTGAATACGGTATGTATTAAAGACCTGCTTTTGTACAATCCACACGTGTTCCACTTGTTCCATCGTAATTGCCTACCTTGAACCAGCCAAACATTGCAAATGGTCTGCCTAATATGAATATTTACATGACACTCAGATATTGGGCAGATAGTGATGGGCCAGATACAACAAAGAGAGACAGCCGTTGTCCAGCTTGTATTGATGGTTTTCAATTGATTGCAGTGAGTTAAATATAGAAGTCTACAAAATTGAATCTGTGACCCGTTTCGGGCTTCAATGCTAAACTTCTAGAGAGTTCACTTCCCGTGAGACTTTTCTCTATCCTTGACCCGTGAAGATCCGGGGTAGAATAGGTCTTCAGCAATTCATTCTTGTCATAAAAGGCGACTGTGCTTGTCTTAAGAGGCGACTAACGGGGCAGGTGGTCAGGCTTGCCAACTTTGTTGCATGTCATCGTATTCCAATTGTGTGGATCAATTCTCATGATGTCAATCACTGGATTGTCTGGTCCAGACTCGATTATTAAAGCTGGAATGTTGCTGAGTGCGGCGTTAAACAACAAACAAACAAAAACCTTTCTCCATCCAATCAGGAGACATGTGGACCAGTTGTATTGCACTAGGGAGTTCATATGGCCTCAAGTAAATTTACGTTGTCAAAATATTTGTCACTATAAGCTGCAGTTTTTTAAATGAGGGACTGAAGTGTTAAGTCAGGGCCTGCAGCTTCTAAAATCTGTTGGTTCTGATGGCAGCCTGGCAGTATTTTACAATTTTATGTTTCAAACACTGCTTCCAGTAAGGCTTTTTGTCCCCCGCCGTGCGATAGCACGAAGCGGGGGACATAGTATTCACGACGTCTTTCCGTCTGAACAAACTGTTGGCGTGATATTTCATTCATATTTGGCACCAACGTGTCTATGGAGGATGTACAGACGCCAGTCGATTTTGGTGACCTTGACGTCATTTTCAAGGTCATAATGAGAATTTTAAGATTTGGACTTTGTAATTGTTGTTTGGGCGGTATCTCATGAACCAGTAAGTACATTTCATTCATATTTAGCACTAAAGTGTATATGGAGGATGTGCAGACGTCAGTTGATTGTGGTGACCTTGACATCATTTTCAAGGTCATTACAAGAATTTTAAGATTTGGACTTTGTATTCATTGTTGGCGCAACATCTCATGAACCAGTTAGTACATTTCATTCATATTTTGCACCAAGGTGTATATGGAGGATGTCCAGATGCCAGTTGATTTTGGTGACCTTGACATCATTTTCAATGTGCGATATCTCAAGAACCAGGGGGTCAATTCATTCAGACCTGTTAATGAAGAATTGCAAGCTAGAAGATGAAATCCTCCACACCACACTATAGAATGGTTTTCAATCTTGACACATATATTTTAGTTGTGACCTCTCTGTGGATCAGTTTTGCTAATTGTTCGTTTTATCAAATGAGAGAACTGAATTTGGTGCGTTCAAATATATTCATGTATATCTCTAAGTGAAAATATGGTAATTTATACAAAGTAGTTCATGAAGTTACAATTTGTCATAAAGTCAATGTCTTTACAGCTTTCTATTAAGAATCCAGGTAAGAATACAGGTCCCCAGCAACCTGTGCTTGTTGTCAGTGACTTGGTTGATTGCATGTCATCGTATCCCAATTACGTGGATTGATGCTCATTAGATCGATCACTAGATTATCTGGCCCAGACTGAATCCTTTACAGACCGCTGTCCTATAGCTGGAATGTTGCTGAGTTGGGCATTAAACAACAAATTTAGTAATTCACAGTGTTTTCATTTCTTATTTTTCAGTTCATGCAGAGGACAGTGTCGCTCAAGGACTACATAAAAAAATTCGTATTTTGTGTTTGGTAATGACCTTGAAAGAGCATGAAGAATCGCGAGCTCTTGCCGTCAACCAGACCTGGGGACAGAGATGTACCAAGCTACTATTCGTCACCTCGGACATCATGGCGGATCTTCCATCATTGGTCTTAAATGTTCAAGATGGTAGAGACCATTTGACTGCCAAAACTATGGCCATGTTCAAATTTGCTTTCAAACATTATTTGGACCAGTTTGACTGGTTTCTTAAAGCAGATGATGACGCGTTTTTCGTAATGGAGAATTTGCGATATTTATTGTCATTCCATGACCCATCAAATAAAGTTTATGTGGGACATCACTTCAAGAGATATGTCGACAGTGGATATATGAGTGGGGGAGCAGGTTATGCAATAAATAAAGCCGCCTTGAGACATTTCGGCCAAAATTCAAATTTATGTGTAACTGATGGTTGGGGGGAAGATATTGACTTCGGAAGGTGCATGGAGGCAATAGGGGTACAGTGTTACCAGACCAAAGACATCCTCGGGAGAAACAGCTTCCATGGCCTCGGCTTCGACGAGACAATGTACTGGTTTGATAATATCAAGCTCCACGCCGTCCAAGTAAAAGAACCAATACATATTGTGAGTGCTCCGACCACAGTGTTGTGTGTCTGGCAGATTGGCCATTTTTGTTATGAGTGAGTGAGTGAGTTGGGTTTAACGCCACTTTTAACATTATTCCAGTTATATTACAGCGTTATGTGGGAGGAAAGCCCGAAGTGATGCTGGTCTCAGATGTTTACCACTTCGGTGAAACCCATGAGCACGGGTATGGTGCTGACAACCTAGAAACATAATCGGGGTGAACCGGGATTCGAACCCACAAACATAGGTTTCTGGTGTGCCCAAGTGATGCAACACTGCACTACGAATCGCGGTGCCTTAGATGACTGGGCCACTCGTGCCGCCATTTTTGTCATGAAAAAATTGATTTGATTCAAAACTGATTGATATATTATTTTCATGGTTAGTTTATGACAAAAAGTCTACTTTCTGCTTTACCGTAATGAATCCACAATTTTATTTTGGCATCCTGCTTTGAAAGATTACTCTGTAAACCAAATGATACAAAAGAGAGCCTGCAAGTAAATATTTTGAATAACACTTTTTCTTTTCTGCCCAGGGTCCATCCTGTTGCAGCCAACTCTCCGTCAGCTTCCACTACATCTCGCCACAACAGATGTATCAGTTTGAGTTCCTGCTGTACCGCATGGCCGTGTATGGGAGACACACCCCTGACCACATGTTTGAAGACTTCTTCCCAGCAGCCACAATACCAGAGGGACATTACACAGAAGACCCCATTCCTCGCTTTTCTTGAACCATTTGTAAAATGCATTACAGAAGTAACGACCTAAAGAGCATATACCACTCACCATTGGCTAGGGACCAAATCGTCTTCTTTTCTTTCAAGTATTGTCCTTAGCAAATGTTGAATAGTATATATGGTATTAAGCTACATCAGTGAGTGAGTGAGTGAGTGAGTATTGTTTTACGCCGCTTTTAGCAATATTCCAGCAATATCATGATGGGGGACACCAGAAAGGGGCTTCACACATGGTTCCCATGTGGGGAATCAAACCCGGGCCTTTGGCGTGACAAGAAACGCTTTAACCACCAGGCTACCTGACCGCCCCTTAAGCTACCTCAACATGTCTGAGAAAATGGTGTGGCATTTATCCTTTTATATGCAGTCATGATCTCGGTTTAATACTAACACAACTTTTGGAAACTAGTGCCGACAGACATCCTTTTCGGTACACTTAGTAACAATCTGTGATTAGTTTCCAACTTTTCCCCAACTGTTAAACATAAATTTTGGACCTAAAAAAGGGAAAAAGGGTCCATTTATAGCTTGTATATATGTATTGCTTTAACGATAGGTAGGTTGTATCAATATAATGATGCCCGTGAAGATCGGGGGTAGAATAGGTCTTCATCAACCTATACTTGCCGTAAAATGCGACCATGCTTGTCGTAAGAGGCGACTTAAAGGGATCGGGGGGTTAGGCTCGCTGACTTGGTTGATGCATGTCATCGTATCCCAATTGCGTGGATCGATGCTCATGATATCAATCACTGGATTGTCTGGTCCAGACTTGATTATTTACATATAGCTGGAATATTGCTGAGTGTGGCGTTAAACAATAAACAAATTAATAAAAAAAACCTTGACACAAATGGTGAGGCATAGTCTCCCTGTACGTGATTCGGATGTTTGCGCTTCCTATTGAACAAGAATGAATATGATTTTCTACCATGTATTGTCTTCGGTTTGGGAATGGAAATACTTCTCGTGTTGCTTATTAGACTGCCAAAGGAATGATTGTGATATGCCAATGTTGTTCAGAGTAATTACCTTGGTATACATTTTTTGATAGCTCACCTTCACTTGATCAGTGTTGCAGTGGTTCTGTTGAGTCTGGTTGCCATGGTGACTTTAGAGCCAATGGTAACTCATATGAGCTTTAAATCAAACTGTCACCTTTACTCTAAGGGAGCCATTTAATGATGTGTTTAAGTATTTGACTTTTATTTTCGGCAGTGGAACTATTTTTAAATGATAAAAATTGTGTTTTTTTTTGTATAAGGCTTAAAATTGATTTGCATAACTGTTGTATGGTAAGGTTGACAGGTTTAAGCAAGGTTATGTAGGAGAGGCTGAAAAGTTCTGAGCCTACAAAAGATTTTTTGCAAGTATTGTGTAGAATTCTTTCAGTTCTTAGCATTTTTGTAATTTCCCTTCTATGTTCCTCCTATTGACTCGCAATTACTTGATAGAAAATGGCGGCGCCCAATCAAGACTATCTGATCAATAATCAAAATCTGTATTGTTTTGATTTGACTCTGCATAGACTCGTTAGTCCTAAAACAATTGTCAACTGGTTCACATATATTTCCCCATATATTATATATATTTCAGATGCAATTTAAAGCACATCTGGACATGCAGAATTATACAGTATGATTGAACACATTTAACTGTGTCTTGGGTATATTTTTAGATGCAAGACATATGTATAATCAAACATTATTTCTGGGTGATTCTTTGACGAAGAACTTGAAATCATACACGCATTCTGATTGGTTTTGTCGTATTTTCGCAATTAACATTCATCGACAGGAGAATGAGTCTTCTTGCAGGTTACGGAAAGGGGCGAGGGGTGACGAATGGTTTTGTGATACACTGATCACACATCCATCTTGTAACAAGGGAAGTAACTCTAACATTATATTCGTTTATTCCTGCCAAAGACGTATATACGTCTTTGTTCCTGCTTACCACTTTTATGACTATAATTTAAAGTTTGAGTAAAAACTATTTACTGATATTTTCAAATTACAGCCATATAGAAAAAGGTCTTTAGGGTCATATTTGTTCAAATTGTAATGAAATTTGGTACATGTGTAATCAGTTGGAACAAGTTTAATTAGTATTGAGGCTCAACACCTGTGTTCCTTTTTTCTCAATGTTTTGAAATTGATTTGACCTTTGTGTTTTGACCATGCTTTTGATTGCTCTTCTACGATTTTGGCTACAATGATCATAGGCGCCGACAGTACTTAATCCTGCATAAAGTACACATTTGACTCATGTCATAATGGGCCGATGGAGCACAGATGCCCTGATGTCTAAGGCACCAATTCGCTTTGCAGAGTTGCGTCAAATGGCCACCCCCGAAACCTGTGATTGTAGGTTAGAATCCTGGTCCGCTCAGATTTTGTTTCAAGGTTTCTCAGCACCACAGCTGTGCTTGTGGGTTTCACCAAGGTAGTACACATTTGAGACCTGCTACAATTCAGGATTTCCTCTCACATGAGGCTGACATATAACTGAAATACTGTTCAACACAGCCTCAAACCCAACCCACTCACTTATGGTGGGCTGGCATCATGATGCTGTTCAAATTACCTCCTTCCCCCGATCTTATGTATCCATGGTAACATTGTTTTATCATTCCTTTCAAGATGGTGCGTCCACATAAATTATCAATCAATGAAATAATTTTTTCAGTTTTCTGTTAAATCACATTATGGCACTGACAGTTGTGAGAAGGAAAGGCATCCACGGTTTTATAAGACATAATTTAGTTGTGACATTTGCCCTGTTAGGCAAAATGTTTTAAAACACCCTCTACCTTGTAAAGCAATATCGAACAAACAATGCTGTCTCTGTGCATCCCTTTTTTAATCCGATTGTCGGTATTTTCAGCAGCCATTTGGTGAAGTCTTAAAAGGTGACACCCCAAACACACACAAACCACAGTGTCCATGCCACCGCAGCCACAAACATGACAAAGTTGTTTGAGGTTGGTGTTTGTTCCCAAGGAATTATGTCCACCAATGGCCACAGGAATGAGCAATACTGGAAAGTTACAAGACCACATCTGTAGTTTAGCATTTAGCAACATACTGCAAGATCGCTATCGCTCTCCCTCCGCCATATTCGTCCCACGTTAACGCCATGTCACATCAGGTGACCTCACCGCTTTGTACTAGTCGTCAGTTCATGTTAGTATCTACTGATGACTATACTATCCTATTGTCTACAACAAACTGGTGACCCATGAAGATCCAGGGTAGAATAGGTCTTCAGCAACCCACGCTTGCTGTGAAAAGCGACTCTGATTGTAGTAAGAGGCGACTAACGGGATCGGGTGGCCAGGCTCGCTGACTTGGTTGATGCATGTCATTGATCCCAATTGCGTGGATCTATGCTCATGATGTCAATCACTGGATTGTCTGGAACAGACTTGATTATTTACAGACTGCCGTCATATAGCTTGAATATTGCTGAGTGCGGCGTTAAACAACAAGCAAACATATAACAAACTGGTAAGCACTCCATTTCATGGCTTGCAGTAGATTCAAATGTTACTGGTGGAAACATAAGTTCCACGGAAAACGCCCAGAACTCGATGAACTCAGCAGCACAGCTAGGCTCGGCCCTTGTGGAATGTTTCGTTTCACGTGAATTTCTATACAAACATTAATACAAATCCGACTTATTGCTGTATAGGAATTTGGATTATCACACACAATTTGGATAATAGAATGTGACTTATTTAACCCTAAACTTTTGTGGTGTTTAATTATGTTTAAAACATGACGTAAGGGCATAGGCAATTAGTCCTGTCAGAATTTTCAAGTTACGACCCTGCTTGTAACAGATTTGAACTAAAAAGCATCTCTAGCAAAACAAAAGGCTAGTCTTAACTTCAGTATGTTGGAAAAGTAATAAATGTGCTGTACGCCCATGTGTAAGCGTCCTCCTTAGTTCCAAGTTAAAACTAAACTTTACACCACACATGGGTAGAGAAACCTTTTTTATGAATCATAGTACATATTTCATATGTAAACTTCTCTTCAATTGCCAGACAGAGGAAGTTCAACTTCTACATGTATGTTTCCTCTCATGATGGCATCACATTTTGTTTTTTCATTTGTTTTAGTCTTCAGTTTTGGTCCTCAGCATTTATGCAGAAAAAAGTCAGTATCCATGCTGACAGAAACTTTTGTTAAGTAGCTGCTTTTGTTGACATTTGAAATTGTTGTCTACATCCCAAGGTGAGCTACAGTACCATGGCACTATGCTTATTAACCACACAAGTCAAAATAGGAATAGATGTTTATGTCTGCTGATTACTCGCTAGTTGTTTTGTTGATCTATTTGTCATGAGTTGAGGTGAGGTGAAATGGAGTTTAACTTCGCATCCAAGATTATATGCACTTATATAGCGATGTGCATGCATGTGTGTGTGTGTGTGTGTGTGTGTGTGTGGGTGTGCTTGTACTAGTCTGGACAAATTCCACCCTTATAGTGCTAGTCCACTGAGACACTGTGCTGCAGTTTAACATGAATACCCCACTCAGACACAGTACACTGACTGAGCCAACTAGTCCTTGTTTTAGCCCCTTATTTCCATGTGCCAGGCAGAGTAACAACAAGTGCCATCTTTTAACGTTTTTTGGTATGACTTTCCTATCTACGGGAGGGTACTCTACCACTAGACCATGGCAGCGGTCGCTATTTGTCACACTGTTTGGGGAAAAAGAAAGGCTATTTCTATTATAAACAGGATGTATATTGTTTTCACATCAACATATATATGTATTTACTTCTGTCATAGAAGACTTTGTCACATGAGTTTAGACATACTTTATTGCTTACATCATATTCATTATACGATGCTTATAAGGAAACTATATACAATTCATTTAATTCTTTTATGTGGCTTTTGGAGCTGTATTATTATTTTATCATACATTTTGATTGGTTTGTCCGATAAATAAAACTAAATTATTTTTCTTTTCTGATTGTTGATTTAGCTCCGGTCATTTCATTGCATTAATAGAAAATAAAGTGGCCCCTGATATATAGGGAATTCTTAATAATGGACTGTACTGTTAGGGAAGGGTTTTGTTGTTTTTATATATGAATGTCAAGACTTCATCGTCTTGTATACACTTTATTCATGATGGATGAAAGTTGTGTATCTGAGACATGTTCATGATGGAGGAATGCTGGGTATATAGGACCGTGTTCATGATGAAGGAATGCTGGGTATCCAGGGCCGTGTTCATGATGGAGGAATGCTTGGTATCCAGGACCATGTTCATGATGGAGGAATGCTTGGTATACAGGACCGTGTTCATGATGGAGGAATGCTGGGTATCCAGGACCGTGATCATGATGGAGGAATGCTTGGTATACAGGACCGTGATCATGATGGGGGAATGCTGGGTATACAGGACAGTGTTCATGATGGAGGAATGCTGGGTATACAGGACCATGTTCATGATGGAGGAATGCTTGGTATCCAGGACCGTGTTCATGATGAAGGAATGTTGGGTATACAGGACAGTGTTCATGATGGAGGAATGCTTGGTATACAGGACCATGTTCATGATGGAGGAATGCTGGGTATCCAGGACCGTGTTCATGATGGGGGAATGCTGGGTATACAGGACAGTGTTCATGATGGAGGAATGCTGGGTATACAGGACCATGTTCATGATGGAGGAATGCTGGGTATCCAGGACAGTGTTCATGATGGAGGAATGCTGGGTATACAGGACAGTGTTTATGATGGAGGAATGCTGGGTATACAGGACTGTGTTCATGATGGAGGAATGCTGGGTATCCAGGACCGTGTTCATAATGGAGGAATGCTGGGTATCCAGGGCCGGGTTCATGATGAAGGAATGCTGGGTATACAGGACCGTGTTCATGATGGAGGAATGCTGGGTATCCAGGGCCGTGTTTATGATGGAGGAATGCTGGGTATCTGAGACATGTTTCATGATGAAGGAATGCTGGGTATCCAGGACTGTGTTCATGATGAAGGAATGCTGGGTATACAGGACCGTGTTCATGATGGAGGAATTCTGGGTATCAGAGACATGTTTCATGATGAAGGAATGTTTGGTATACAGGACCGTGTTCATGATGGAGGAATTCTGGGTATCCGAGACATGTTTGATGATGGAGGAATGCTGGGTATCCGAGACATGTTTCATGATGAAGGAATGCTGGGTATCCAGGACTGTGTTCATGATGAAGGAATGCTGGGTATACAGGACCGTGTTCATGATGGAGGAATTCTGGGTATCAGAGACATGTTTCATGATGAAGGAATGTTTGGTATCCAGGACTGTGTTCATGATGAAGGAATGCTGGGTATACAGGACCGTGTTCATGATGGAGGAATGCTGGGTATCCGAGACATGTTTCATGATGAAGGAACGTTTGGTATACAGGACCGTGTTCATGATGGAGGAATGCTGGGTATCCGAGACATGTTTCATGATGAAGGAATGTTTGGTATACAGGACCGTGTTCATGATGGAGGAATTCTGGGTATCCGAGACATGTTTCATGATGAAGGAATGTTTGGTATACAGGACCGTGTTCATGATGGAGGAATGCTGGGTATCCGAGACATGTTTGATGATGGAGGAATGTTTGGTATACAGGACCGTGTTCATGATGGAGGAATGCTGGGTATCCGAGACATATTTCATGATGAAGGAACGTTTGGTATACAGGACCGTGTTCATGATGGAGGAATGCTGGGTATCCGAGACATGTTTCATGATGAAGGAATGTTTGGTATACAGGACCGTGTTCATGATGGAGGAATTCTGGGTATCCGAGACATGTTTGATGATGGAGGAATGTTTGGTATACAGGACCATGTTCATGATGAAGGAATGCTGGGTATCCAGGGCTGTGTTCATGATGGAGGAATGCTGGGTATCCGAGACATGTTTGATGATGGAGGAATGTTATTTATAGGAGACTATGTATTTGCTGTCTTGTGTGTTTGTAAAGATAGTCTTGAATTTGTTATTCATGTTTTTTTAGACAAGGTGATAATCACTTGATGAACAACCATCTAAAAGATTAACTTGTCATCCATTGGAGGTCATGTCAGGGGAACCTTCTTATCAGCCAATCATCACTGAGGCTTCTAAATTCTCAGTACAAGTGAGTGAATCTTTTTCACAAAAGCATATCTGATTTCTCTGACTAGAAAATGAATATTTTGGGGGAGTTCCTAGTGCCAAAATATGAAACTGTGCTATTATATGGTTGTGGATATCTATACATCATATTGTTTCATAGCGCAATGGCGTCTACGCCAAAAGTATGCCATCAAGGGGATATTTGTGTTCTGTGGTGTTTTTCTTTTGAGGTGGTAAAAACTGGAGCCAAATCATTTTAGAAAGCTGAAATCAGGGCTTAAGACCCCATGCATCCGTCTTTTAGATAGGGCAGTCCAAGTTTGAGGGTTGATCTGAAGCGATCTTCTTTGGAAGTGTCGTCAGATTTTCATGCAGAGAGATCTATCATATCGGAATAAGATATCTGATGTTAAGAATACTGATTTGTCTTTGAAGGACATCATCATCATCATAATTATTACAATTTACATTAATAGCATGTCTTCGTCATGTCAGTTTGATATAGTGGTTGTGGTTGTGAATATACCAATGTATATCTTACATAAGTACAGAAAGAAAATCATAAGAAAAAATTACAAAATGTTCTGGAAACATGATATTGCTGGAAAATTGCCGATGTGACTTTAAATATTAACTCACTCACTCACTCTGGAAACATGAGTGAGTGACTTAAAATTTAACATCACATCGTCAATATTTCAACCCTAATCGTGACGATCTGGAAACATGAAGAGATGATATCAATATATGATTATTGTTTTTATGATGAGCATGTGACCCAAAATCAACTTAAGTGTATCACACTAAATATACACTGACCAGGTAAGCTCATGTGTCTGGCAAGTCTATTGACCCAACGGCACACCATAACAAAAGTAAAATAGTGTTGAAAGGAGTAAGACCAAACACACAGTCAGTCGCACTGATACAACATTCTGACCAGGACGGGCAGTTGGGTGGCCTTGTGGTTAAAGCGTTCTCTCGTCACACTGGATACCCGGTTTGATTCCCAACATGGGTACTATGTGTGGAGCCGATTTCTGGTGCCCAGCCTCTAATAGTGCTAAAAGTGGCGTAAACCATACTCACTCACTCACTCTGACCCAAACGACATTAGCCGGCACAGCTGATCCCAACTTCTTATGAGGTTGAAAGGCGCCAGTGGGTAGAAAACTCACTCCAGTAAAAGTAATGTCTCGTGTATAGCTGTTAGTTTTAGCATGTGCTTTATTCAGAACTTCATCAGGATGCTAGTCCACGTTAACAGCTCACACTTGATGCAAACTGGCAGGATGGCCGTCCCAGCAGTGCGGGCGTCCGTCACACTGTACGATGCTGTACGTGGCGTTGTAGTCTAGCAGCACCTGATGGGTGTGACCTAGAGCTTCGCCTGTGAACATCGTTACGTGCCGTCCAGATTTCAAGGTATCCTGAACGTCGTGGGACAAGAAGATGTCATGGACGTGTGGACCAGGTGGATCCTTGGTTGCGACGCCGGTTCTCAGGTGCAACGTCATCTAAGATAATACAATGACATTCAAACATAGAACACCATCCTTGATATTCAAAATGTTACAGTTAAGATGTCATTCTATCTTTTTCAAGAAGGGAGTACGGGTGGCCCAGTCGTCTAAAGCTGATGACTATCAATTCGCTGAGCAGACTTCCGTCCCTTGGACACGCCAGAAACCTATAATTTTGGGTTCGAATCCCGGTTCGTCCTGATAATGTTTCTAGGTAGCACCATACCTGTGCTTGCGGGTTTCACAAAAGTTGTAAACGTCCGAGACCTGTGTGTGTGGCTGCTTGTACTGGTTTTATATTGTTACTCCATGGAGATACCATGCCACAGTTTAACATGAATACCCCACTCAGACAAAGTATACCGACTCCGAGCTGACCAGTCCGTGTTTCACCTTGTCTTTGACATGACTCGGACGGGGTCGAACCACTGACCTTCCGCTCACCGGGAAGACGCAGAATAGGTCTTCAGCAACCCATACTTGCCGTAAAAGGCGACTATGCTTGTCGTAAGAGGCGACTAACAGGATCGGGTGGTCAGGCTCGCTGACTTGGTTGATGCATGTCATCGATCCCATTTGCGTTGATCGATGCTCATGGTATGAATCACTGGATTGTCTGGTCCAGACTTTATTTACAGACCGCCGTCATATAGCTGGTATATTGCTGAGTGCTGCGTTAAACAACAAACCAACTAACCAACCAAGGGAACCACTGCATCACGGGGTGATACAAGTGGAGAAGCTATATTAGTTTGTTCCATCTACTCCATCACCTGGGGTGGTCGGGTAGCATAGTGGTTAAAGCGTTCGCTCGTCACGCCGAAGACCCGGGTTCGATTCCCGACATGGGTACAATGTGTGAAGCCCATTTCTGGTGTCCCCCGCCGTGATATTGCTGGAATATTGCTAAAAGCGGCGTAAAACCATACTCGCTCACTCACTCACTACTCCATCACCTCCACATGTATCCGCATACACCTATATTCTACTACAGTTTCATTTCTGGCAATATTTGAGGAAATGTTTTCTAACCTTTACGGGGTGGCTAGCTTTGTTTGAGCCGGAGAGAGTAAGAGGATTTTCAAAGAGTCCCTTGTACTTTTCCATGTCCATCACCATGTCCTTGAGGGCGTCAAGTTCCTTCCACACGCCAGAACCCTCTCCATGGACAGGCACGATGGGGTACCGCATCCTGAGTTTCCCTACCCCCGGGATATCGGGAAGGACGACCCTAGTGCCAGAAGCAACCACTTGTTGCACCTTACTGTGTTTGTCCAGCACCCCAACAGTGCTCTTGGTGGTGAACATTGCAGGAGGTGTGTGGTAGAAAGCAGAGTACCTTGTACCGTTGTATGCCGTTTGGGGCGTGTGGCCTCCCACCCTCCGTTTGTCGGGAGCCTGTGATCCCTTTGGCCAGAACTCCAGGTTGAGTGGGTTCCAGCTCAACACGGGGTTCATGTAGATCACCTCGAGGGGTACGGCGTACGTGTAGCGCCGGCTCCAGGACTTGCACGTCTAAACATATAACAAGAACCGTAATTCCCTAGACCCCAAAAAAGTGAACCTTTAACTCCGCACAAAACAATAGTCACACCGTATAATGGGTTACACAAGAAATGGGCTTCATCCGTGTGTGGAATCGAGGCCGACCCCCTGTACAATTTCAGAAATGCCAAACCTTGTTTTTAGTGACATGGTCGACGGTACAATGCTCTACGCCCATGGGCGCTACGCGGGGCTGGTTGGTCTGCGCAACCCATATGTTCCGGTCGGAGAAACCACGGTGCAGCACCTGTTGTTTCGATCCACTTTTCCCCACCTTGTACCACCGGTGGTAGTAAGCTGGAGAAATACAGATAAAAGTAAACTTTCAAGATTATTCACACGGAGTGCCAAATTAGCCTCAGCTGGAAGCTCCCATAAATCACCTTCGCATACCGAGCACTCCCGTTATTACGCCTATGAAAATAGGTGAGGTGAAATGGGGTTTAACGTCGCGTCTAAGATTATTGCACTTATATAGCGACGTGTGTGTGTGGCTGCTTGTACTAGTCCGGACTGGTGCCGATTTATAGTTCTAGCCCACTGAGATACCATGCGGCAGTTTAACATGAATACCCCACTCAAACACAGTATAATGACTCCGAGACGACTAGTCCTTAATGCCGAGCGCAAGACAGGGTAACAGCAAGTAACATGTTTCAACGTCTTTTGGTATGACGCGGCCGGGGATCGAACCCCGGACCTTCCGCTCTCCGGGCGGACGCTCTTCCACTAGAGGCGGTCTCCTATGAACATAGTATGTGAAAACCACGTCATCTAATAACCCTGCCTTAACTCAGACCTGTTCACAGCCGGTGTTTGTCGCGGTCCATTAGACAGCAGGTCAATTTGACCAGATTTATATTTACAAAGGAAATTAATATGTTTGTGACGCAAACTTAGTTCCTCTTATTCTGTCAAGGTACCAGATTTGTTTGTTTACAGTTACATGAACATGCTTTAGGTCAAGCACGGGTAAAAAAGTAAGTAATGTCTGCTGACAACATGTTAGTGACCTGCTGACAGTTATATTACAAAATGGGATTCTTCTGGATGGGGACATCTTCTGCGAATTGAAGTATTATGTCCCAAATCAAATCACAAATTATGTCACCGTCCCACTTCAGCATGGGTATTCATATTAATCTATACTCCTACACCAGTTACCTCAAAGTGTCATTTTGGTCAGTTCCACTACAAGGTAATATATAAAATATCAAAGTATCAAATCTTCACCTTAGAAAATCAAGACACAATTGTATCTTTGTCCATCGTGATATATACTGCTGAACGCGCAGTTAACCATAGTTACATACACATATACTGGTACATGTATGTGTTTTGCATCAGGTAAAAAAAACCAACACGTTCACCAAAAAATGTGTTGTGTTTCCCATAGAAATCACCTTCCCGAGGCAAGGGAGTTAACTGACTAGTTTCCACCCATGCCAAACTAAGCTGGAACAATGGAATAATGAATTTATGTATAGTCCAACCAATATAGGGTAACGAATTCAACATCCGGTTCGTAAACTGCCGTGCAGATTTCGGTCGATTGCAGGATATGCAAAGCATGTGTAGCATCAACTCGGTGTCAACAGATATTTTTCAAATCTGGTCATGTTTTTAATCAAGGTGATCACGTGATTTGATGCGCTTCGCAAAGTAAGAGCCGTTTTATTACAATATAGAGCTTGATTATAGATCAGATTGTCTTTACTGGGTGCCGCCATTTTCTTTGGAGCAAATGCAAGTGATATCAGAGATGGAATCTGGTCAATAGGAGAAACATAAAAGGGACATAACTCCACTGGTGGCGCTTCGATCGAGCCTAACAGTTCTAGCCTAGTCCAGCAAGGGTGGAAACTGGGCTTTTAAAGTCATTTAAGTCCCTAGCCTCGGGAAGATGACAGAAATTCTTTGACTCTTCCTTTAAAGACAGGTCTTGAAGCATGAGTTCTACTTCCCCGAATAACAAGTCAGATGAACATACCTGTGTTAAGGGGTGTGTTGTCAGTCTTTGAGGCGTCGTACAGTAGCTCGCCGAAGACGTCCTCCTTCAGATTGGCGTGGTAGTTGTTCTTGCCGGGAATTTGGCTCATCAACTCGTCCATGAGCGAGTAGTTCTTCCCGCTGATAGACAAACACACGGTAGATGTAGAAAGACTGATAAAATACAAACATTCTTAGAAGGTATACAGAAATCTTTGAAACCTAACCATAAATAATGTCGGCCCTTTTCCGTTGACCCATGGTCTACATTTCGTTACGGACCTAGGCGTAGCTGTGTGGTCTATGTCGCCACAAGTGGAGCAGAATTACGTCCCTATCAGTGCTAAGATCGTAGGTTAGAGTACCAGATTTGATCCTGTCGGCCGTCACTATAGGTTTGATCTTTGATGTTGTGGTAAACGTCTGAGAGCTGCAACAGTTCGGGCTTTCCTTCCACATTAAACTGACACCCCGTGATATAACTGGAATACTGTTCAAAGGACGTTAAACCCAACTCACTCACTGGCTCTTGTTTTGATGATAAACCAAGACTCGCAACAACACATTATCTTTGTTCCTGGACGCTTTGTGCCCACTAGTAACAAACCATTTCTATTACTGCTTTGATTTTTATAGTAACCAGATGATCAAGGACCAATATAGGGAGGGTCATAAAAACTACGACAGTGTTCAGAGAAAGGACATAACAAATAAGATTGAGACTTTTTTTAAATTCGAACTCGCTGAATAGACACGGCGTCCTTATATTTCTCACAGCCTTGGTAGGCAGCCTGGTTACCTCAGCTATCTTGTTGACATTTAGAAACACCATCAGCCTTACAATTTTCAACCTCATGCCCCCCCTACAACTTGTGGACAAATATTGGAACTTTACTTTTGCACCACGATGATACGTGACCAAACTGTTGGCAGTTGTAACACCTTATTACTGGGGTACGAAAAGACGGACATGAAATGTTGAAAACGCATCTTTATGCGCTCAAAAGGATGAGTGTCAAATGTCAATAAAAAACAGGTCGTGATTTCTTCGTTCTCTCGTAAGGGATTTTTTACCTTTACGTTGATCAACAATTTCAATTACGTCAATATTATTTAATAAATCATCATACATCACATCTTTGCTTGAACTCAAGCTCTTTGGAACACAGCCCCTGACGCAGATGTCACAAATCGTGGACACATTAAGAGCCTTCAACTGATCAAAAGATTTGAAATGAATCACTAGATTGCCTTTTTCATGTTTCCCCATGAAATCGACATCATAAATGCTTTTTTCTGAACATTATGGGTCAAAGAAATTGGACTTTTTTGTAAGTCTCAATCTCGGGTCAACAGGCAAAGATACCACACCAAAGTTTATTGGAACATCAGATATGGAGGTCGTTTCACTTGGGTGTTTTCGTACACTATTAATTTGTAATTTTCAGCGAATTCAGCACCAGTAGACGTTTCTTCAAAGTCAAAGGGATTATCAACATCCTAATCCCTATTCCCGTCATTTTCGCTATCCATATTGAAGTGGATTACACCCGACAAGAACCTAGCCAAAACACTTAACGAAATCCGACACCACTAGAAAGGTTTGGTAAGAAGTCCGCGCCCCAACAAAAACAACAAACAGTAGCAAAGCCAACAAGTAAGCCAATGTTTCATTCTGACAGTAATTTATACCTACCTGGAATATATTATATCCTGTTAAAACCTAAACGATCAAAATTTAAAAACACACAAAAAAAATCGAGAACTGACAACACACGTCTGACCTCAGATGAGGGACCGGTCTATTCAAGCAGTAAGTACTTACCCATTCTCATCGTAGAGAGAAAATCGTGCTGATCCATTTCGAAAGTATGCATCCATGGTCAGACCATGAGCAAATCTAGCCGACAGGTCATCTTGGAGATGGAGGTACTTCAAGGGAATGTCTCTCTTCAGTGGATGGCACAGAATACGGTAGTTCCACTGGGCGAACTTGGGCGTGCCGTGTTCCACTTCAATCATGGTAGAAGGGAGGAAGGCGAAGTTCTCCTTGACGCTCTTGCTTCCGGTATAGGATGTGAATATAACCTTATCCTGAAGATCCTTCCAGCTGGTTGCGTCGATGGCGTGTCGGTCGCTGCTGAAGGGCTCAGAGAAGGTGGTGTCCATGGTCCATGCTCCTTCCATGTAACACAGGACGGGTTTAAAGTACTTCCTGTAGTCTCGAGTGTTGTGGTTCTGATCTTTCCAGGCTCGGAACCATTCTTTCATTTCCGCCACCTGTGTAAGACGATAGTGGAAAATATAAAAGTGACCAAACCATTTCCATCGTCAAAAGAAAACTCCGCCAAACGCAGGGCCTGCTGCACGGATCTAACCACCCCATAAACATGCGTGTATGAATCGCCACGGACTAATATCAAGTCTCTAAAATGAAAGTTGTTTAATAATATTAATAAAATGAAGTAAAAAGGAGTCCAGATACTCTCTTCCTTTTCAGAAACTGCAGTAATCTGGACATGCATTGACAGTATATTTGTTTCGGGATCTGTTGGACAGACTAGAGTCCCCACCAAACAGGCTGTGCAGAGTTGCGTCCCTTAGGCACGCCAGAAACCTGTGGTTGTGGGTTGCAGAGGCAAGTGAAGTGTTGGAAGAGATGAGGTCAAATCAGCTCCCCTCAATCCCATGCATAGGTAATTTCGATCAACTTTTAGATTAATCAATATTGGAATTATTTCACCAGTTAACGTGACTATGACATTACACAACTTTTATATGAAATGTTGATGATATCAAATAAGTAAATATTCCAAAACCACCTGTTGAGGGAGTGTTTTCTTAGACGTCACTTCCGGTGGAACACCAGGGAACGGAATGTCCTCAGTTGCCTGGTACGCTGAAGATTTCGTGCTGGGCATGCGCAGTTTGTAGTCGTTGTGCCTTGTTTTGAAGTCAACGCCGTTCATGACCATGTTGACTTCCCCCATTCCAACGGTGCGATCATAGTTGGAATGGTCGTGCACAGCAGAAGCACCACTTTACGGAGAGACGATCAGTATTATTAAGAATTGACTTTAATATATTTTAGCATTTCTGCAGGTATAAAGGTGAAAACATGTGTGCACACGTAGCCCTGCGGATTTACACACAGTGCGAAGACCGGTTTTCACTTTTATTCCTCAAATCAGTTCTTATAAGTAGGGGCGGTCTGGTAGCCAAGTGGTTAAAGCGTTCGATCGTCACGCCGAAGACCCGGGTTCGATTCCCGATATGGGTACAATGTGTGAAGCCCATTTCTGGTGTCCCCCGCCGTGATATTGCTGGAATATTGCTAAAAGCGGCGTAAAACCATACTCACTCACTCTTATAAGTAAAAATGTCAGTAATAATAACTTTACAGACTGCATATATAATCATTAAAACAAACTAACTTTTGTCAACTATACGAAAGGGAGACATCGTTCGGCGCAATTAATTATGCAACTCAAGCCTGGCCCATCTGTCAACCAGGACATAGAAGTCTTCTAGTGAGCGTGGCCAAATTTATGTTAGTTTAAGGAAACGCAATAGAAAGCGCTTGGTTAGACAATCAAATACCATGTAATCATTTGGAATTTGTAATCATATTATTTATGAAAGTTGGAAAAGCAGCACACGTACTATCTGTGCCTCTTTCGTAAATAACACAGGGGCAAAAGGAGTTATTTCAAAGAAGAAAGATATTTTTTGACCTAAATATACGATAAGAATCCTCTTTCACATTTTGACTCGAGATCTTTAACATCGGCGTTAGTTCTACATGAATTCTTGACCTGAAGGTAAGACGCGAGTGTGTGCGTGCGTGCGTGCGTGCGTGCGTGCGTGCGTGCGTGCGTGCGTGCGTGCGTGAGTGTAGTCTGGACAAGGCAAATCACTGAGCAAGAATCCACGACATTCCCACACCAGGGTCTCATGCCCTCATCGCATATTAATTCTGACTGACCCATCTGAAGGTGCGTGTCTGACTAATAGGGTATCGTACCGTCATGGCACTATCTGTGCGACTGACCCATCTGAAGGTTCGTGTCTGACTAAAGGGGTATCGTACCGTCATGGCACTATCTTTCTGACTGACCCATCTGAAGGTGCGTGTCTGACTAATAGGGTATCGTACCGTCATGGCAATATCGTTCTGACTGACCCATCTGCCGGTGCGTGTCTGACTAAAAGAGTATCGTACCGTCATGACACTATCTGTCTGATTGACCCATCTGAAGGTACGTGTCTGACTAATAGGGTATCGTACCGCCATGGCACTATCTGTGCGACTGACCCATCTGAAGTTGCGTGTCTGACTAAAAGGGTAACGTACCGTCATGACACTATCTGTCTGACTGACCCATCTGAAGGTGCGTGTCTGACTAAAAGGGTATCGTACCGTCATGACACTAACTGTCTGTCTGACCCATCTGAAGGTGCGTGTCTGACTAAAAGGGTAACGTACCGTCATGACACTATCTGTCTGACTGACCAATCTGAAGGTGTGTGTCTGACTAATAGGGTAACGTACCGTCATGACACTATCTGTCTGACTGACCCATCTGAAGTTGCGTGTCTGACTAAAAGGGTAACGTACCGTCAAGACACTATCTGTCTGACTGACCCATCTGAAGGTGCGTGTCTGACTAAAAGGGTGACTTACCGTCATGACACTATCTGTCTGATTGACCCATCTGAAGGTGTGTATCTGGATAAAAGGGTATCGTACCGTCATGGCACTATCTGTCTGACTGACCCATCTGAAGGTGCGTGTCTGACTTAAAGGGTAACGTACCGTCATGACACTATCTGTCTGACTGACCCATCTGAAGGTGTGTGTCTGACTAATAGGGTAACGTACCATCATGACACTATCTGTCTGATTGACCCACCTGAAGGTGCGTGTCTGACTAATAGGGTAACGTACCGTCATGACACTATCTGTCTCACTGACCCATCTGAAGTTGCGTGTCTGACTAAAAGGGTAACGTACCGTCATGACACTATCTGTCTGACTGACCCATCTGAAGGTGTGTGTCTGACTAATAGGGTAACGTACCATCATGACACTATCTGTCTGACTGACCCATCTGAAGGTGTGTGTCTGACTAATAGGGTAACGTACCATCATGACACTATCTGTCTGACTGACCCATCTGAAGGTGTGTGTCTGACTAATAGGGTAACGTACCATCATGACACTATCTGTCTGACTGACCCATCTGAAGGTGCGTGTCTGACTAAAAGGGTGACGTACCGTCATGACACTATCTGTCTGATTGACCCATCTGAAGGTGCGTTTCTTACTAATAGTGTATCGTACCGTCATTGCACTATCGTTCTGACTGACCCATCTGAAGGTGCGTGTCTGACTAAAAGGGTAACGTACCGTCACGGCGCTATCGGTCTGACTGACCCATCTGAAGGTGTGTGTCTGACTAATAGGGTAACGTAACGTCATGGCAGTATCTTTCTGACTGACCCATCTGAAGGTGTGTGTCTGAATAAAAGGGTAACGTACCGTCATGGCACTATCTGTCTGATTGACCCATCTGAAGGTGCGTGTCTGAATAAAAGGCCCTTGTATCGTCATGGCACTATCGTTCTGTAACTATCTGACTCACCTGTATGTGTGCGTCTCAGAATAATAGGGTCTTGAGCCGTCATGGTATTGTCTGATCTGTTTGATGCCAGACTGCCCGTCAGATCGGATTCTTTCCTCAACGTACAACTGCTGCATCATTATCTGCGCCATGATCTCCTCCATCCGGACATTGAACTGGTCCATCCTGCCCTTGAGGTTCCCGCGTGGGAAGGGTGTGGTGGTGGAGGTGGGGTGCACATACCCACACGCGTACCCAGTCAAAACCAACAAGGCGAAACTGACGAAGCGGATCTGGTAACATGGAACATGACCTTCCATCACACATTGCACTTCATTTTCAATCTCATTAAAATCAGATGGAAATCCATCGAACCTGAGCTTACTTCGATCGCCAAATTTAAAAGAAGGATCCGTGGGTTCTGAGCCAAACAGTTGTTAGCCTTCTAAAAAGATTCGACTTCATTTTTTAACGATCTCGTGTCGGAAGTTTCGATTTGTACAAACGAAAACCCAATTGCGTCCATCATCTTTGCTTTGTCACTGGTACGTATGATCGCAGTAAACTTGTACAGCCTGCGCCCCTTTGGGATTTCACCCACATTAATCAGTCTTTTTTTGTCTGGAACAGCGACTTTCAGTTTCACCAAAATTTTAAATGTCTGTGTCAAATGTAGTGCGGTCTCTGTCCCTATAAACGATTTGGATGTTGACTTGTGCTTTTCAGAGTTGCGGGCTGTTCAATGGTGTTTTCCCAATAAATTCCCGATTCGAAACACACAGCACTGACAACCATTATGTACATGGATCGTAATGCCACGAAAAAAATTGCAACACGATTCGCTTCCTAAAGTACTTGCCTTCAAATATGTTTTGGTTTGTTGTTTAACGACGCGCTCAGCAATATTCCAGGTATATGGCGGCGGTCTGTAAAAAATCGAGTCTGGACCAGACAATCCAGTGATTGACATCATGATCATCAATCTACTCTATTGGGATACGATGACATGCATCAACCAAGTCAGCGAGCCTGACCACCCGATCCCGTTAGTCGCCTCTTACAACAAGCATAGTCGCATTTAACGGCAAGCATGGGCTGCTGAAGATATATTCTACCCCGGATCTTCAGGGGTCTCAATATGTGTTCTTATATTTTCGATCATGCAACTTAATAAATACTTATCGGGTTGGAATAATCGAGAAAGTACGGACATTTTGCCGCCATTGGTGAGCGCACCAGTTTCCCTGACTCGATAAGTAAATAAAGATAAGATTGTTCCACGATCTAAAATATAAGTTCTCATATTTAAAGACAAGAGGAACCTGTTGAATGTCTTTCAGAGTGGGTTAAGTCAGTGTGTGATGTTGTCATTGGTAAAATGCACACACTGAAAAAGCGGAAACAGAAGTTAATAAACCCATTCCATCCCAGCCAGCTGTCAAATAAAGTTTGTAGTTGTTCCTACGGACAAGGCCTCACATATCATAACCACTATACGTAAGCATCACTACATTAATTGTTTGATCGAAGAACTTGGTATAAGTGCCTCGTCAAATAATGCCACATGTAAGGCCAGTATTATTAACTGAGGAAGAAATCTTCCAATACCATGCACCAGCCTCAAAGTATGGCTTGACTCTTAGCCCTGTTTGAATGGCCAACTTTTACTTACGTATGCAAAAGTACACATGTGTATATTTGAACACGTGAGTAAAAGCAAAATTACTAGACGTTCTCAAGGTTTCAGTCGGGGTGTTGTATATTGAAGGTAGTAAATGCAAAAGCTACATCTTCAGGCTCATTTGGTGGCAAGTATTTAACATGGGAAGACTTATTTCATATTGCAGAAGATTAAGGAGACAATTTCCTTTTCAGCTTAGTTTGACAATAAAGGCTGGCACATATAAAGAGTGAGTGAGTGAGTTAAAAATTGACGTAACATCGGCAGTATCTCAGCCATATTGTGACGAACATATAAAGAGAGATATGTATGAAAGATTGACAGAGATACGGCTTGGTGAGAAAGTGTGTGCCATAATGGTATTGAGTGAGTGAGTGAGTTGGGTTTAACGCCGCTTTTAACAGTATTCCGGTTATACCACGGCGTGTCAGTTTTATGTTGAAGTAAAGTCCGAAGTAATGCAGGTCTCAGACGTTTACCACTTTGGCGACACCCACGAGCATGGGTATTGTGCTGACAAACCTAGAAACATAATCGGGTCGAACCGGGATTCGAACCCACAATCATAGGTTTCTGGCATTCCCAAGGGACGCAACTCTGCACAGCGAATCGCGGCGCCTTAGACAACTGGGGCACCCGTACCCCCGTAACGGTATTGACAATGAATGGTATACTAATTGTCGTATGCACACATACTTTTGCTGTCAAGTGCACCTTAAACCTCCCGACAACTGGGTAAGAGAACCAATGCCAGTAGAGAAAATACAAGAAAGGTTAGCATCTACAGCGGGATACAGAATAATGGAAACCTATTGGATGTTGGCAAAACTTTAGCGTTCGATAGAATCCATGTATGTGAGTTTTTAGTAAACAGCTCATGGACGACTGCGTCTCCTTGCTATGTGAGCTAGGTTTGACAGGGGTCATCAACTGTGCCATGTGCAATCGACGGACCACACATCCCTAAAATTTGACATAGAGAGACACACACAAAGATTACCTAAATCGCCCGGCCTGGTATACATTGATAATGGCGGATCCTTCCGATCATCGGTATAATTTTAGAAACATAAATATAAGATATGTGTCCACGATGCCAAAGTTTTTACCAACTTTGAAATATTATACAGGGGTGAGAATAACTCATTCTGTAAACTGCACATGTGTAAATTTACCTTTACATTTGCACAAACCCTTGACATGATGTAAATTTACCCAGGGTGCAAATTTGCACTGGTATGCTACATGACAGGCTTAATGACAACCTTTATTCCTTGGATCCATTGGACATTTGTTTCAAAACTCGGTGACCATAGATACAGTTATATATCTATCTTCAGAGGTCCAGGGCAATTTGTCATAAATGACAGATGACACCTGCAGTTTTTCTGAGAAACAAGTTGTGAAATGCTTGACTTTATCACTGATAGCATTGATGAACAATTTGGAGGTAGACATTTAGGCAAGAAGTAGGCATCCCCATGGGCACCCATTGTTCTTATCTCCCCTTCTTGTTGATCTGTTTGTTTATAAGTATGAATTGGAATTTCAAAGTCAAAGCATGGTAAATTTAAATGTGGACAAGAAGTGAACTTAAGCTTCAGGTATATCGATGATCCGAAATCGTTCAATAACCACAAATGAGCCAAGTTCCTTCCACCGATTTACCAACCTGAACTAGAAATATGGGAGACCAGTGAGGCCACCTAATCTGTGTCATATTTAGATATATGGGTAAAGATTCAGAGTGACATTCTGCACAAGACTGTATGACAAGAGGGATGACTTCAACTTTTCAATAGTCAACTTTCCCTTGATGTCGAGCAGTCTTCCAACAGCTCCAGCCTTTGGTGTCAACGTTTCACAACTTTTGAGGTATAATCGAGCATGCTTTATCCACTAAGATTTCAAAGAGCGTCATGGAACTCTTGTTCAGAAGTTGTTTAATCCTGGTGACAAAATTCAAGGCTTCAGTAAAGCTTTCAAAAAGTTTTATGGTACACACGTGGAGGGCTTATCCTAATTTGACGCATCAGTGACAAAAATGATATCCTGTGCAATTCCCTATGTTCCGTGCTTTTTCAGGTGAAGAATTAACTTGCCTTTGCATAGGTTTGTGATTTTGTCATGGGTGTCACCGGCGGGGCAGGATACGCTCACTTTTTAGCGGAAACCTGGTACCATGACTATTTGTTGAAGATTCATAAACACATGCTCATGATATAGTCGGAATCGTAGCGTCGATTTCCTATGAATATGGAAAGGGTTTTGTCGCTTTTATTTAGGAAGTGAATCATGTTGCATTTGTCTTCAGATCACGACGCATGCACTTTGCTGAAACGAACGAAGTGCGATGCAGATTTATATCGTGAATCTATTAAGGCAAATACTATGGACAGCCCGTACCTCTGTGAAGCAAATCAATACCAACATTGTTTACATGGAGCATCACAGATATACCGTTACTGCAGCTGCATCAAATGACTACATCAACTTACATCACTTTAACCGTTCCTCCCACTACGCTGACGCGCAGTAATATAACTGCAAAACTGTTCAAAGTGACGTCAAACTCAACTCGCTCACCAACGTCAGCGTTCACTCGTCACCCAAATGATCGGGGTTCGAATTCCCAAGGAGTATACAATGTTTTGCCACCTGTACTTACCATAGTTGAATCGCTGTCACACCTCGAACCAAAATGTACGGTGTTATATAACGTTCTTCTATCTGAAGGCGCCCACTTAAGAGATAACCAGCAGTTGGTTGCACTACACATTCCCACCCGACCTGCATACGTTATCGCCGTTATATGCACCTGCAAGGCTCACAATTACTTTGTCATAACTACGCTTTCAATTATAAAAATGACTTATCATTTTTCGATAGAGAATAGTTCTACTTTGGGACTTCTGAATCGGAAATTCTATCATGCCAGATATCCAACTGGTGATAGTGTGGCAGTCACAGATTCTGTGTGTCTGTGTCAACTAACCAGTTTGTTTAACGTCGCAATACTCCTATATGGCGGCGGTCTGTCAGTAATCGAGCCTGGACCATCTTGAGCTTTGATCAACGCAATTGGAATACGATGACATTCATCAACCAAGTCACCGACCCTGACCACCTGATCCCGTTAGTCGCCTCTTGCGACAAGCATGACATGGGTTGCTGAAGTCCTGTTCTACCCCGTATCTTCACGGGTCCAAATAACCAGTAAATCATACTATTATATAAATAATATTATATTATATTATATTATATTTTATTAATAATATTAATAATAATATAAGCATTAGTTATTGGTGTCAGTTTTTGTATATAGTGTATAAAGTATATAGTGTAGTTAGTATTAATATTAATATTATCATTTGTTATTAGTGTCAGTATTAGTATATAGTGTATATAGTGTAGTTAGTATTAATATTAGCATTAGCATTATTTATTAGTATTATTAATAGCATTTACTATTTGTTTGCAGTACGAGTTTTAAGGAGTTTAATGAACAGGTGATAATACACCTTAAGATTTTAACTTAGTTATGTTTGGGTCAGTCACTACTCCTTTGTGGGGGCGGTCGGGTAGCCTAGTGGTTAAAGCGTTCGCTCGTCACGCCAAAGACCCGGGTTCGATTCCCGACATGGATACAATGTGTGAAGCCCATTTCTGGTGTCCCCCGCCGTGATAATGCTGGAATATTGATAAAAGCGGCGTTAAACCATACTCACTCACTCACTACTCCTTTGTGTCAGCCAGGTCAAATATCCTGGTTGAGTGGCTAACCTTATTGTTCTCATTAGGGTCAGCTTTGCATGCATCTTTTCATAAATAGGATTATGTAAATAGGTGTGATGTGTGTGAGATATACATGTCGTCAATGGCTGATTCTCCTCAACAGGAAGTTATTTGAATATGTTTGTGAGGCTATTACCATGCATGTGTTAAGTGTATTGTAAGTGCGTGGACATTCATGATAGCGACTGGATGTTTATTATTGTTTTAGGATAGTGCTATGTACAGATCTGTAAATATGTATTTAAAGTAGCACTGATTTGATAATACTGTCCACACGTACAAGAGAATTGTGTAGGGAAGCTAACGTTATTGTACATTTAGAATCATTTCCATATTTGTAGTTTTTTTTGTCACTGTAGCCCTGGCCATTTAGTCGGAGGAGAGTAAAACGTCAGCTACACCTAGAGCCCACACGTCTGGTATGTTTACTTATCACATGTAAATATATACAGTTAGGTTTATCTACTGATTACCTTTTACACGACCCAGGGAGTGTGTAGATTTGACTTATGCATATCCTATATATATGTCTAATGTCATTCTAATGACGTATCATGTTCTGACGTATGCATATCCTATATATATGTATAATGTCATTCTAATGGCGTACCATGTTCTGACGTATGCATATCCTCTATATGTATGTCTAATGCCATTCTAATGACGTATCGTGTTCTGACGTATGCATATCCTATACGTATGTCAAGTGTCATTCTAATGACGTATCATGTTCTAACGTATGCATATCCCCTATGTATGTATAATGTCATTCTAATGACGTATCATGTTCTGACGTATGCATATCCTCTATATATGTATAATGTCATTCTTATGACGTACCATGTTCTGACGTATGCATATCCTATATGTATGTCTAATGCCATTCTAATGACGTATCGTGCACTGACGTATGCATATCCTCTATATATGTATAATGTCATTCTAATGACGTATCATGTTCTAACGTATGCATATCCTCTATGTATGTATAATGCCATTCTAATGACGTATCATGTTCTGACGTATGCATATCCTATATATATGTCTAATGTCATTCTCATGACGTATCATGTTCTGACGTGTGCATATCCTATATATATATATGTCTAATGTCATTCTAATGACGTATCATGTTCTGACGTATGCATATCCTATATATATGTCTAATGTCATTCTAATGACGTATCATGTTCTGACGTATGCATATCCTATATATATGTCTAATGTCATTCTAATGACGTATCATGTTCTGACGTATGCATATCCTATATATATATATCTAATGTCATTCTCATGACGTATCATGTTCTGACGTATGCATATCTTATATATATATATATATATATATATATATATGTCTAATGTCATTCTAATGACGTATCATGTTCTGACGTATGCATATCCTCTATATATGTCTAATGTCATTCTAATGACGTATCATGTTCTGACGTATGCATATCCTATATATATGTCTAATGTCTTTCTAATGACGTACCATGTTCTGACGTATGCATATCCTCTATATATGTATAATGTCATTCTAATGACGTATCATGTTCTGACGTATGCATATCCTCTATATATGTATAATGTCATTCAAATGACGTATCATGTTCTGACGTATGCATATCCTCTATATATGTATAATGTAATTCTAATGACGTACCATGTTCTGACGTATGCATATCCTATATGTATGTCAAATGTCATTCTAATGACGTATCATGTTCTGACGTATGCATATCCTCCATGTATGTCTAATGTTATTCTAATGACGTATCATGTTCTGACGTATGCATATCCTCCATGTATGTCTAATGTCATTCTAATGACGTATCATGTTCTGACGTATGCATATCCTATATGTATGTCAAATGTCATTCTAATGACGTATCATGTTCTGACGTATGCATATCCTCTATGTATGTCTAATGTCATTCTAATGACGTATCATGTTCTGACGTATGCATATCCTCTATATATGTCTAATGTAATTCAGATGACGTATCATATTCTCGTTATATTTGTTATATTTTACAATGTTCTTCTTGGGTGTTATTTGGCATTTCAAGGTGTAAAAAGATAAAAAACTAATCATACCCGTAGCCGTGTTGTCACCTTTTTCAGCGGTCCACACACATTCTGCTGCAAAAGATTGCTAAGACAGAGCAAAACATTAACATATATTTTAAAATTGTTATCGCAGTATTTCGAAATGTGTCGTTTAATCAGCGCGTACTGGCTACCCGTAATTAACTTTACTCTCTAGAAATTCATTATGATGTCCACTGTAGAAACCTTCAGTCAAGAGGTAGTCAGGTACTATTGGCACAACCGTTGAGTGGCTATACTCACGAGCTAAAAGAAAAAAAGCTAAAAGTTGAAAATGCTTTTACAACACTGAAGAACAAGGTGATCCCCTGGGGGTGAGGGTAGTACTGTTTCCGATGGTGTATGGGACAGCGGTCATGTTATAAACTGTTTCTATATAATAGATATATATTCCTGTCACAATCGGAGGCGGGAGTGTATCGCAGTGTCTTTAGTTCTGCAAAACAACCTTATACTTGACCGCCGCTCATGTTCAGTTAAATCTGATTACAAGCTTATGAACACAGATTAGCTGTGTGGGTGAGTGGCTGCTTGTAATAGTCTAGACTTATGTCGGTTTTAAAGTGCTAGCCCACCGAGATACAATGCCACAGTTTTAACATAAATACCCCACTCGGACACAGTATACTGACTCCGGTTCTTGTTTTATCCCCTTCAGGGTAGCGGATTGACTTGCCTTTGCATGTGTTTGTGATGGGTGCTACCGATGGGGCAGGATACGCTCACCTTTTCGTGAAAACCTGGGGAGTGGAAGCTTGTTGGTTCGATACCCGATTGCGCCCTGATTGCTTATACCTTGCCAAGTACTCGGCATTAGGGTACACAAAAAAAGAACCGGTCATCTCGGAGTATGTGTCTGTATACTGTGTCTAAGTAGGATATTCATGTAAACATGGCATATTTATACTTATCAATAGAACATTGACTATAAGCGGCAAACTCCTTTCCATATTCATAATAAATCTTTGCGAATAGAAGCAGATTGTACGATTCCGACAATATCATGAGCATGTGCTTATGAATCACTATTGAATCGTATGAATCTCTATTAAATCTTATGAATCACTATTAAATAGTGATGACACCTGGTTTCCCCGAAACGTTGAGCGTATCCTGTCCCAATCGTGGCAAGGGGCTATAGATCATCAGCATCCAAGGTTATGCCACCATACTAGGGACCAAGGGGGTTTACGGTACTACACACGGCACATTCATGGGACCCTATCAGGATTTACGACATCCCTCTAGCTGCCGGCGATTATCAGCAGTTATGGCCAAGAAACCAAAGTACATTGTACTCTACTGATAAAATACTAGGAGGGATAAACGTACTTTGAATGATGCGGTCTTACATCCAGTTCCAAGATGTACATATGTATTAGAAACATCATTAAACAGGCACAAATCGTTATTTAAGAAAATATCCTCAAATAATTTCCCTTTTGTATAAGTGTCATTTAATGCCCCAAATGGGTTATGGCCATTCAAATCTTCCATGATAACACAAGGGTAATTCTATAGTATTATAAGTCTGGAAGGTAATTTAAGGTACCGACGTTTACTACAATATCTGAAAAACTATTGGACCTACTCCAGTCAAAGTTGGTATGAGATTATAAAACAGTCATACATAACTGGATATTACATTTAAAGACAATCGGTGCATGAATAAAAAATCTGTCTATTTAGCTATCACTATATTTCATCAACAACCAGACCTGTTCGTCACGGGTGGAACGAGCATTCATTGAAACTGCATAATGCTACCCCTGCGTCACAGGGCCATATCACACAGTTGAACCAATCAACTCAACTCGAAAGGTTGCACGGGAATCACGCACGCGTTCCAGAAAGGGTTCAATTTGTGAAGCTGATGAAGATGAAGTGTTGGTGCCTTCAGCA